CCGCAGAGGATGGGTGACGCAACAGGACAATGACCCAAAGCATACAAGTAATTCAACAAAACAATGGCTGCAACAGCACAGAATATGCCTTCTGGAGTGGCCCAGTCAGAGTCCTGACCTCAACCCGATTGAAATGCTGTGGCATGACCTTAAGAGAGCGATTCACACCAGACATCCCAAGAATAGTGCTACACTGAAACACTTTTGTGAAGAGGAGTGGTCCAAAATGACTCCAGATCGTTGTGCAGGTCTGATCTGCAACTACAGGAAACGTTTGGTTGAGGTTATTGCTGTCAAAGGAGGGTCAACCAGTTATTAAGTCCAAAGGTTCACATACTTTTTCCTCCCTGCACTGTGAATGTTTACATGTTATGTGCAATTAAACCATGGCAACGTCTAATGTTTGTGTTGTATTATGTTCAGCAGACTGTGTTCTTCTATTGTTGTGACTTAGATGACGTTCAGAGCACATTTTATGCCCAATTCATGCAAAACTCCACGTAATCCCAAGGGGTTCACATACTTTTTCTTGCAACTGTACCTCCAATTTTGCAAACATATCTGCCATATCTGCTTATGTGAAATTTTTGATGTAGCTCCTTGTTAGTCCATCACACTTTGATCCATTGTGCTATCTGCATTTGTCGTGTCGTAAGACTGGTGCGCGTCTTGTGTTCCCAGTGACATTCTTATGTAGTCTCCCACCCCTTTCCTATTCCTCTCCTGTTGTTTCTTAGGGGTTAATTTCTCTGGGCTTTTCTCCTGGAGGGGTAGATATTTCTTTATTATGCTAGTATTCGCACCTGCTGGGGGGGGGGGGTTTTGCTCCCCCCCCCCTTTAACGGATTTGCTCCTCATCTCTTATGCTTTGCCACTGAATTTGTTGTAATACACGGCTGCTGTATTATCCATCCCCCTGAGAGACTTAAAAAATACTAAAAAATACTTTGTGAGCAGGAGTGATCTATCTAATTCCACTGCCACTCAGAATCACTGAGAGCCCCCCGAATTCAATCACAGTAGAGAAAGTCCTGCCGTTGCTCACAGCAACTCACACCAACCCTTTCATATTGATAAATCTTGATCTCGTCTTCATAGGCGTACACCGTTCCCACTGTTACCGCCGAGCTTGACTCCTGATGGGATTAGATAGGTTAAAGAAATTATTAAAGAGTTTCTGTTTCTTTAAACTTCTGGGGGGTCTCAAGGTCTCCCAAGGCTGCTAGCCAGGTGTCAGGAATCCCCGCCGCGATGGGCTCGGCGCAGGCGCAGTTCACCGCCCTGTGTCAGAATGCGGGCACTGAGACCTGGCCGTCCGCAGCGAGGGAGTTCGCGCATGCGCAGTAGGGGCCCGCGCGCGTGGCACCAATGCCAGCGCAGGGCGGGATATTTAAATGGCCCTGAGCTGTCATTCAGTGCCTTCTGGTCTTTCCTTGTATCCTGTATCTGCGAACCTGTTCTAAGTAAGTTACTGACCCGGATTGTACCTGACCTTGTTGCCTTCTTCTGCCCAGACCCTTGCTTTGCCTGACCTCTCTCCTGTATGCCCCCGTTTGGATCTGACCTTCCGTTGCTGACCTGGCGTGTGACCCGACTACTCTCTGCCCGCTGCCTTGTACTGCTCCGTCCCCACTGTTACCGACCCGGCCCGTTTGACCCTGCACTTGCTCAGCCATCCATCCATCCCGACGGGATCACCCGACCTCCTCACATCAGGCTCTTCCCTGCAGGAGCCCCTGGCGAATACCACTACCACTGACAGGCGTGCTCAGTAGCCACAACCTGGTCTCGCGGTACTTCAAGTCCATCCCCACCATCAGGGGCTCTGGTGAACACGTACCCTGGGGCTTAGATACCGTGCGCTGGGGACGTCTGGCCAGTGGAGTGCTAGTGGAACTGCCTGGTGGTCCCTTACACCAGGTCTTTAATAAATCATTTTTAATTTTCTCTCTCTTCCTCAGCTGTAAAGCCACATCACTCTTCTGAGGTTTTGAAATTGCCTGTCACTTTTTCAAAATTGCCACCTTTTATCACATGGGCTGTCACCTGGTTAGTCACATGGGCAGTCACATGGATGTCACAGGGATGCTCTCACCATCCCCATCTCCTCTGCTGTCGCCACCTCCTGCTTCCGGAGACTGTCTATCCTCACCGCTCCGCCACCTCTCCCAGGGGCACTGGACCGGACCTCCACCCAGACCCAATGCTGCCACGGCTCTCCTCTCCACTCCTGCCCAGCCTCGTGGTATGTAGAAACTTTAGGGATACGGAGTGGCAGGATAGGGCTGGCTGAAGGGCTGCAGAGCTACTCTCTGTTTGCCAGGCCCCTGGAGCTCACATTGCTCACGGAGCCATGCTCATGCTCCTCGGGAGATGTCCTCCTAACCCCCCCCCCAGCACACAACAGGTGAATAACAGCCTCAACTGTGCATGTTTCTGTATGAGAGTGTGTTGGGGAGGGGGGGTGTCAACTGGCACCCTCCACTCCAGTCTCAGATTACTCTCAGATGCCTGCTGTGTACTGTACTGTGTGTGATCAGATCCCCGCCCCCTCTTCTGGAGCTAAGGAATGCTGTGTAAATTGTACACTTTAAATGGATGTAGAGGAGAGAGGGCTGCATATAAACAGGTACAACTTATGTAGGAAGATTTAATCTTTTTGTATCACCTGAAGCCAGTCACTTCAGTGGGCACATGTGAGCATTTGCAACGACTTTAATGTGCTACTTTTTATTGACAAATGTACCACGGCATTGTTCTGCCATTGTATATTTTGTCCTACGCTTGAATACATCGCAGTGCATCTGTATCCATACTGCACACCTTGTTACAATAAAATCTTTGTAAAACAAATTGGAGATTATGGTACGAGGAACACTTTTTCTAGAAAAAGCAAAAAAAGTCTCTGTGTATTTTCTTGCTTTGAACTCATTCTGTGATATCCAAATTGCAAAAAAGCCCATCAATTTTAAATGTTCTAGGAAGAGTCACATTTTGTAAATGTCACCAAAATAGATCCTGACTTGGCAACCAATCTTCCTGCACTTCCAAGCCATTCATTGCTGTGACCTTTCCCAAAGCTACTCTTAAGGGTTCTCCAAAAAATTAAAATGTAGAATAAAATTCTTGGCTCTAGTTATACCTTTAAACTGTAAAGATTCCTTATGTCTTGTCATGTTAAGGAGGGTTGTAATTGATTGGCAGTGCTCCTCACAAATGAACAAAGATGGGAAAACTGTGCAATTTTGAGGCTGAATAAGGCGTGTTATTTGTTCATTTTGTTACTGGTTTCAGTCATGTTTTGGAAAAAAAGATCTTGATAAGAGATTTTATCCTTTTTTACTGAAAAAAAATTATTATTGGGATTGGTTATTAAAAATAGATTTGCAAAATTATTAAAATGGCTGTAGTCATTGTGTCAGCACAGAGATTAAGGTTCCATGCACACCAGCGTTTTTTTTAAGCTGAAAAAATGCTGGATAAAAAACCGCTACCGTAATCATGTGTTTTAGTAGCATTTTTACAGTACATGTAGAGGAAAAAAAAATAAAAGAAAAAACCTGTTAGGAGAATTTTGTAGCATTTAGCGGTTTTTTTTCTGCTGGAAAAACGCTCCAAAAAAACTCTACAAAAACAATATTTTTCTGCTACTAGATGCTGTAGCTCAAAAAATGCTACTAGCCTAAAGCAGCATGCATGGACACATAGGATAACACATGGACAGATAGGATAACACATGGACACATGGGATAACACATGGATAACGCATGGACACATGGATAACGCGTGGACACATGGATAACGCGTGGACACATGGATAACACGTGGACACATGGATAACACGTGGACACATGGATAACACGTGGACACATGGATAACACATGTGACGCGTGGACACATGGATGATAACACATGGATGACACATGGGATAACACATGGACGCATGGGATATAAACACATGGATAACGCGTGGACACATGGATGACGCGTGAACACATGGACACATGGGATAACGCATGGGATAACGCATGGACACATGGGATAACGCGTGGACACATGGATAACGCATGGACACATGGGATAACGCATGGGATAACGCATGGACACATGGGATAACGCATGGACACATGGATATAAATGGGATAACGCATGGACACATGGATAAATGGGATAACGCATGGGCACATGGATAAATGGGATAACGCATGGGCACATGGGATAACGCATGGACACATGGATAACACTTTAGCTTCTAGGAGCAGAAAAAAAATGCTGATAACTTTTAGGAGCTTAAAAAAAACGCTAGTGTGCATGGAGCGTCAAGATTTGGACCCTCAGTGCTGCTCAGACTGCGGCAACAGCAGAAGGCCCACTACAGCACCAACTTATCTGCAAGGGAACAGTGGCAGTCGAACTCGTACTATGGTCAGCTAGGGTATCACTCAAAGTCATTTCAATGGGTAAATTTAATTTGTGGGTCAAACACTGTGAATATCAAGATATAGTAATGCAGGGGGGGGGGGGGGACTGGAAAATCTACACCTTTACACCTTTTGGAGGTGAATAAGCTTGCCCAAAGCTCATGCTTAAAAGTGCCCGGACTTGAAGTGGTTAACTGGAATGTTAGTGGTTTTTATTATGCAAAAATCTGATATATTTAGACAGATCCTAAGCTAAATTTTGAACAGGATAAGTGCAACAAGCACAATGAAAATGTCTATGTATAAGTGTATCTATCAAATCTATTGAAGTTGTTCATTTTCTAAACACTGCCAAATAAATGTAATTGGGAGTTTTTCCATGTATGAAACCACTACCTGCAGGAAAGGTCTTTCATGTCACCAACCCACCTTTCTGGTGGAGGGATGCCTTTGGCAGCTGTGTTAAGACTCACTAGAAAATTGACAGCTGTCATCTCTTTCTACAGGCATTGTATAGGAAATGTATACAGAAATGTAATCATTGATTTTTTTATATTACTTTGTCTTCTTTTTTTTTAGGGCTACACAGATCAAAACCTATTCCTGGGACAATGCACAGGTCATATTGGTTGGAAATAAGTGTGACATGGAGGATGAGAGAGTGATACCTACAGAGAAAGGAAAGCACCTAGCTGATCAGCTTGGTATGTGTTGTGCTGCAGTTCCCTCTGCTGGATTTCAGACAAATTACTGGAGTCTTTGCTAAGTATATTTACTGTCTCTTGTGTAGATTTTCCTTTTTATGTTCTACCCAGTGAGAGCAGTTTTAAATTTATATGGCAATTTTTGCAAAATTTAGCATGCCCATGGATATACACTCACTGGCCACTTTATTAGGTACACCTGTTCAATTGCTTGGTAACACAAATTGCTAATCAGCCAATCACCTGGCAGCAACTCAATGCATTTAGGCATCTAGACGTGGTGAAGACGACTTGCTGAAGTTCAAATCAAGCATCAGAATGGGGAAGAAAAGGGACTTACGTGACTTTGAATGTGGCATGGTTGTTGGTGCCAAATGGGCTGGTCTGAGAATTTCAAAAACTGCCTATCTACTGGGATTTTCATACACAGCCATCTCTAGGGAAATCAAGATTCATTAGACCAGGCAACGTTTTTCCAATCTTCTATTGTCCAATTTTGGTGAGCATGTGTGAACTGTAGCCTCTGTTTCCTGTTCTTAGCTGACAGAAGTAGTACCTGGTGTGATCTTCTGCTGCTGTAGCCCATCTGCTTCAAGGTTCAACGTGTTTTGCGTTCAGAGAAGGTATTCTGCATAACTTGGTTGTAACGAGTGGTTATTTGAGTTACTGTTGCTTTTCTATCATCTCATATCATATCACACAACTGTCACTCACTGGATATTTTCTCCTTTTCGGACCATTCTTTGTAAACCCTAGAGATGGTTGTGTGTGAAATTCCCAGTAGATCAGCAGTTTTTTTAAATACTCAGACCAGCCTGTCTGGCACCAACAACCATGCCACATTCAAAGTCACTTAAATCCCTTTTCTTCCACATTCTGATGCTCTGTTTGAACTTCAATAAGCCAACTTTACCACGTCTACATGCCTAAATGCATTGACCTGTTGCCACGTGATTGGCTGATTAGCAGTTTGTTACCAAGCAATTAAAAAGGTGTGCCTAATAAAGTGGACGGTGAGTGTACTGCTAGTTATTACTAATGTGCAAGCTCAAAAATAACCATTTTTCCCAGCTTACAATGGTGATGGTAGCTGATGACATTGAAAGATGAATTGGCTCCTGTCTAAATTGTCCCTAGTATGTGTATGTATGAACGTGAGTTAGGGACCTTAGATTGTACGCCCCTTGAGGGTTAGGGACTGATGTGAATGTACAATATGTATGTAAAGCGTTGCGTAAATTGACAGCGCTATATAAGTACCTGAAATAAATAAATAAATAATAAAGATGATGGCAATTACAGCAGAAGATGATGTCAGAATGGAAAATTGCTTACAAATAGGGAAGAACAATGACTTGTTTGGGGTGGAATTAGACACAAGTTGATTCCTATACAAATTGAGAGTTTTCACTCAGGAGATTGCAGTAGAATGAATTTGGGTAAATTGGAGGCAAATGTTGACATAATTTTGCCCAAGGTAAAGTTGGTAGTTTTACGCAAACTGAATTTTGCCAAATTTTGCTGATCATCCCCATTTACAGAAAATGCTTATTCAGCATCCGCTATGTTTTAGGGCCTACTGGTCCCAGTCAGTTTTCTGATACTATCCTCTATAAGTCAGTGAGGCTACTTTCTATTTTAGCATCTCTGCTCATAGGACTGAGGTGACAATGCTTGATCATCTGGCTAAAAAGGAAGCTAGAGCCAGAGAAATGACATAAAGCTGCATTTGTGAAGCAGGAAATAAGTCTGTCATCTGCATATTTCTGTGCAGTGTTATAGGATGTAAATCACAAGATTGGCTGAACAGAATTACAATCCTTTTGGAAAGTTAAATAGTAAAACTACATTTATTTAAATTGTTTATACCCCTGGTCTTCAACCCGCAGCCTATTGGCACTTTTTGTGCATCCCAAAAGACTCCTGCAGACACTAATCTGTGTTTACCTACCGTGTTTCGAAAATAAGACACTGTCTTATATTTTTTTTGGCTCAATAAAACACACTAGGTCTTATTTTTTAAATGTCCAGGTGTGGACAGGGGTTGCAGAGGTGAGCTGTAGGCAGTTGTGGATGAGGGTTACTATGGAGAGGGCCGGTTGATGACAATTGTGAGCTGCAGTCAGGTGTTGCAGAGGTGACTTGACAGGTGAGTTTCAGACAGGGTGCAGATATGAGCCACAGACAGGGTGAAGGGGTGAGTTGCAGATGGGGATGCAGAGGTGAGCTTTGGCCAGCGAGTGCAGAGCTGAGCTGTGGCATGCAAAGGTAGGTTGCAACTCAGCTCACATATGCACCCTGTCTGCAACTCACCTGACTCAATTTACCTCTGACACCTGACTGCAGCTCACCTTTACACCCCCCCTCCCTCCACTGCCCTCATATAGTTAGCTAGCATTGCAAAACACAACTGTCAGCAGCTGGACACTCTCTATAGTAACTCCCGTTTCGGGTCCTATCTTCCCACACAGTGCACCAAGTGCACTTACCGCTCTGCCTCTTCCCCACTGGCCGGTGATCACCCCTGGGGCGTCGACTTCCATGCATTAGGCTTCAGGAGGAGATGCCCCGCCCCTAAACACACTGCACCCGCAGATATCTGTTCCTTCCCTGTCCCACAGTGAGTACAGAGGTAGGGAGGTACTGTGGGAGCAGATGGTGCTGTCACTTTAGCCGCGCTTCTGTGTTTATAAGAGACAGTAAATATGGGTGTGCGCAAGGCCAGTGCCAAAGGTGGCGGAATGGCGTTCCGCCATATTCCGGCTGAAAAAAAGCCCTGATCACAACTAGGTCTTCTTTTTGGGGTAGGTCTTATACTTTAGCAATTTCCAAAAATAGCACTAGGTCTTATTTTCGGGGTAAGTCTTATTTTAGGGGAAACAGGGTATTGCCCTGTTATAGCAGTGATTTCTAGCAGTATCATGTAATATGTCTCCTGAAGCATAGCCCCAGTCTACAATAACTCCTATAGCATGTTCACTGCCTCTGGCAGCCTCTACCTATCTCTAGAATCATGTCTGTACTCTCTGACCATCTCTTGTATTAGATCTACAGTATCTGATCATTTCTTAAATCATGTCCGCAGTCTCTGACATCTTGTTTTGGGTCCACGGCCTCTGACCATTTCATGTATCATGTCCGCAGTCTCCAACCATCTCTTGTATCATGTTTCCTGTCTACAACCATTTATTTTATCATGTCTGCAGTCTTTGGCCATATCATGCATCATGTCCACAGTCAGTCACTGATCATCTCTCTCCTGTATCATGTCCAGTCAGTCCATCTCCTGACCATCTCAGTCTGTATCATGTCTACAGTCTCTGACCATCTCCTGTATCATATCCATAGTCTGACTATTTCCTGTTGTGTGTCTGCTGTCTGTGACATAAATTATTCACTGAATTTTATGTGTGGCCCTTTGGTGATGATGAGGATCACTTTTGAGGGCCACCATGTCCAGAGAATAGACCACCACTGGTCTATGCAACTGTTTACCTGGAGTTCCCTGCTAGGCAGATCCTACTGTGCTCTTGCTCAAAATGAACAGCATCTCAGCAGACAGATGTAGGTAACACATCACTGCAGGCCATTACGGTGGACTGACACCAAGGGTTTGATTTACTAAAACTGGAGAGTGCAAAATCTGGTGCAGCTGTGCATGGCAGCCAATCAGCTTCTAACTTCAGCTTGGTCAATGAAGCTTTGACAATAAAACTTGGAAGCTGATTGGTTTCTACGCAGAGCTGCACCAGATTTTGCACTCTCCAGTTCTTGTAAATCAACCCATATTGTCCACTGTGGACACCTTGGATTTCAAGTTCAGGCTGTATACTGAGCCTCTACTTCTGTCCAAGTCATGATTATGCCCTACTCCATCATTTGGCTGTAAAATGCCAGAGCCTGTACTGCTTATTATGGCCTTGCATTTGACAGTTACATACCAGAAGTTAGGGTTTATTGAAATGGAGAACCCATGTACAGACTGGGTCTAGGATCGAAGGGGCTCTATAGGGTATATGGCTCAGTCTGAAGACTAATGCAGGTATTTACAGGCATCACAAGATGCCTGCACTTAAAAACTCAACTATCATTCATAATAAAGTGAACATGACCTAGTTACGAAACGGCTAAACAGATTTGTACACCCTTGTGCACCTTCCCTACCTCCTCACTAGTAAAGCAGACCTGAACTTTAATTTGACATTGTCTTTTGGCAGACACCTCATAGGACCTTTTCTGACATGTACTGAGCATTAGATATGCATGAAGCTTGAAAAGCAATATTCTCAAGGTTTGATCTTTCCTCAAGAATCCACAGCCCTATTGTGTGGTGAATTTAAACTCCTTTTTGCTGAAGGAAAGGTGCAAGTCATTATACTGTAGAAGTAGGGTAGACCCCCCTCATGTGGTGCCCGAATGGGCCTTGCTGTGCTTCAGCTTTCTTGCTATATGAGTATGCCATGCCACATGTCCCACATTCTACCCATCACCCTGCAGCTCCCATCAGCACTAGAGGACAATGGCAGCTGATGGTTTTGTAAAGAAGTCGCAAGTACAGCATCAGCTGAAATCCATGCTCTTCTTTGTTATTCTTCCAGCTGATTGTGTGCATTGTAGTGTTGCTCTATAGAACATCCCTAGTCATCAGTCTACATTGTAAACCTGCTGTATAGCTAGAAGAGCCATCCTAGCTTCTGAACCAGACTAGATAGAGGCAAAACATATCAACTCTATCCATCTCCGCTGAAACTTTATATGTCCAGCCTCTAATGTTCTGTAAGATTTTATTTTTCTTCTGTTAAGCACGTCATAAAGCTCTAGAGAATTTAAATACAGTTAAACATGCAGATTCCTTAAAGAGAACCAATTATGACTGGGCAAGAATTTATCTTAAAGTCAATTTTTGTTTTAATTTTGGCTGTAAGGGAGGGTTATAACCCTCCGGTTAGGTTTTTTTGCCATCTTTTGTCTCATTGGGAAATATTCCTTCACTTCCTGTCCAATAGCCAAAACAGGAAGCAAGTGTAATTCCCTCCAAAGTGCGAGAATCCCTGCTTGTCACCAGAACTAGTGTCCCCATTAGAAGATTACTCCAAATAGAGAGGGCGAATCTCCCTAACAGAGCACAGACAGCAATAAAAACCTGACAAGTCTTCCAATTCATCTCCACTCCACATAGGCCTGCCTCACGTTTGCATTGCAGTGCATCTGTATCACAGATGTATTGGTTTGTTATTGACAATAAATGGCACTGTGGCACTCTAAGATATGTAATGCATGTTACCACAATGTAGCAGTGTGAATGAGCTCTAAAAAATAAACAGATTAGCCCCTGTTCACACTGGAGCATGTTTCTGCTAATTTCCTTATTCCTCACTATGTTTACCATTCACAATGCCATTCTTTCTAATTGTTCCTGGTATACTCTGTTGGCCAATACTACTTTTTTTGAGCGTATTCAGGCATTTTGCTCCACAGACTTCGGTGGCAGAGCCTATGATTTGCATGAGCAAATGAGTGCATGAAGCATGTTTTTACACCTTTCCAATAGACCTTCCCTTGTCCAGCCCAGGAAACAAACGCCTGAAAAACTCCTCAAAATCACCAGGAACACTCTGCTCAGGTGAGAATGCAGGCTTAAAGGATAGGTTCAACTTTTGTACAAAAAATAAATGCACTTTTTTTTTTGCAGGGTAAAAAAATGTGCATTTATTTATTTAAATTTCAGCCCTGTAATCACCAGATTGAAGGTGCAATGCCAGGATCCTGCAGACTCTCAGTAAGCTATCTCTGCCTGTACCTCCAATACAAGCAGTTACTGAAAGGCAGGAATAATCAGTGGACTATTAAGAGTGCTCACCAGCACCCTCGCAGTTCACTGAGGGCTACAAGTCATCAGCTGCAATGGCTGAAGGTATTTGTAGTCCAATGAATTCACAGGAAACTGTGAATGAATGATGCGGCCATGTGGACGGAGCCCTGCACAGCCAGGCTGTTTTCAAATGGTGACGGTGGGTACAGGGAGAAGATCCCCCACCTGCTGTCACAGAATGGGGAGTGCTGGTGACGGCAGGTGGCTGCAGAGGAACATGTTACATGCCAAGGCTCCATGAACACTAGTTTATTTTTTCTGCCCCTAGAAGCCAATAGTGTTATCCTATGTGTTCATGCACACTATTGTAGGCCAGAAGCATTTTTCAAGCTTCAGCTTCTAGGAGCAGGAAAAAAAAAACATTTGTCTAGTTCTGGGAGGACGTCCATGCCCATCAGTGCTGCCCACCTGTGCCCTGCAGTGCTACCTATCAGTGCATCATCATCTGTGCCACCTATCAGTGCCTCATCAGTGAAGGTGAAAAATTACCTGTTTGCAAAATTTTATAATAGAAACAAAGAAACCTTTTTTTCTTCATATTTTTTGCTTTTTTTTGTTTATAGCACAAAAAATAAAACACCCAGCGGTGATTAAATGCCACCAAAAGAAAGCTCTATTTGTGGGTGATTAAATACCACCAAAAGAAAGCTCTATTTGTGTGAAAAAAAATATATAAAAATTTCATATGGGTACAGTGTTGTATGACCGCACAATTGTCATTCAAAGTGCAACAGCGCTGAAAGCTGAAAATTGGCCTGGGCAGGAAGGGGGTATAAGTGCCCGGTAGGCAAGTGGTTAACAAAACTGACTATTGTAAGGATCAGCAGGTAATACAGCTAAGGTATGCATTACCAGAGCAGGCACTAAGCCTGATATATTAAAGTGTTCCTAAACCAGGACTCTGCATTCACTATATCTGGTCAACAGTACACAGAACATGGAAATGCAATCATTTTAGTAAATATAAACTGCTAAATACTTTTTCTCCTCAGCAGTATATAGCAGTCTTGTGACTTCTATCAGTGTCTGGCCGAGCACTGGTTAAAGCTTGTAGGAGGAGTTTTCATTCTTGTCTGTCCTATGAGGCAGCATGATCCCTGACCCTCTGTTTGGACAGTACTAATCACATCCACCCTCCCAAAAACAAACAAAAACTCTCTACCAGTACACAGCAAACTGAGCATATGCAGAGTGCTTCCTAGGGCTCTGTACTGTCAGCAGATCTATTGGGGACAGTTAAGAAGGGGAGGATCAGAGATGACAGGATCAAACAGCCTTTGTACAATGCAGAGGATTAATCCCTTAGGTTCCACAGTGAGTACAACAAGCATGATTTACTGCATATACAGACTGATTTTACTGTTGTGGATTTAGTAACACTTTAATAATATTGACAGACTGCATCATATATGTACTTTTTATTTTCTCCACAGTTTGACCCTAAATATGCCAACTTCAGCCCTTAAGTATATTGTTTTATGCACACAGGTTTTGAATTCTTTGAAGCCAGTGCCAAGGAGAATATTCAAGTGAAACAGGTTTTTGAACGCCTCGTTGATATCATCTGTGACAAGATGTCCGAGAGTCTCGAAAATGAGCATGCGGCGGCCAGTGGAGGCAAAAACCTGCGCTTTACTGATTCCAATCCCCCTTTACAACAAAAGTGTTCATGTTAACCCGATTACCACCTCGTCTGGGACCAACCAAAACCCCTTGAACTCCAAACCACGTCAACATTTCTAATGGAGCCACTATACCAATACGTAGAACTCTCCCCTGATAAAAGGGCTGGGATATGATCCCACAAAGCAGGATATAAATATCTAAAAATTAGCTGCTGACCTCTGTATGCAAAAGAAGGATAATCCCTGTGTGTCATACTATGGTTTAAAATAAGCAAGAGCAACCTCCAATATACATCCCAACTGTCCCAAAACTGACCAGTTGTGATCCAAAAAACATAGCTTACCAAAGGTGGGCAAATGGTCTCACTACATATGGTCAAATCTGGGACAGAATTTTGGTGGAAGTCCACATTTTTACCAAGAAGTAATCAGCTCATCAGTTGATGAAGTACAAGTCCCAGCATGCTGTGCCAACTGTGCATGCTGAGTCTTGAAAGTGGCAGCATTCCCTTGCCCATTTACAGTGACTACACATTGTCTTACTTGTGTGTGATTTGTGTTAGTTTTTGTTCTTAAACTTGCATTTTTATTACTGTTGAAATCTTTGTGTCTTCAATGTGTTTGCAGGTATTTTTTAATGTTTTAGAAATGTACATATATAAATATATTTTGATGTTAAATCTAAAAGACATTGCCATTAAAGTCATTCTTTGTTAGGAATGAATCTTGGTTTCCACATTTTTTTTTTCTTTTATTTCTGTATCAAATATATTTCAACAATCATAAAACAGGGAGTGCAGTGCTAAATCAAATGTAAACCTTTAACATAACAAAATATGTGACTGATACAAGTCCGCTTATACTCTTAATAAGAGTTATATAGTCCACCATATAATATCAATCACTGTGAGTGTGATCCAGTCTTCTATTGCAGAGGTATGGATAAATTGCCTACTCACCGGAAGCACAATATAATTGCGCATATCTGGATCGTATACATCCTGGGTGAAAACAGCCTGGTGCCAAGATCCTCTGGTGATCCCTCAGTGATATTTGGGAAGGTTACAGGTCTGATCACAGGTGTTTAATCCTCAGGTTTGCCGCAGTGCCTGAAATACTGGTGCTGAGGTATAAAGGCTCAGTGCCAGGTATGGGGAATAAAGGTGCTCATAGTGTAGTATTGTAAATGATAAATTTATTGCATCAAATAAAACCAATGACGAACATTGCAACTGGAGAGGTTACAAAAGACTGCTTTGGGTAATCATATGAAGCACCTAAACAAGCACTGACCAGTGTGAATCATGTGTGGGCCGCCGGACCTCCTGACCCGGCGGCGTGGCGTCAAGGCGTGCGAGGGCTCTTTCTAGACGCCTTTCGTGTAAACACACGTCTGCAGTAGGGGTGATGCCATGCAGGCCGGACGTCACACATATATATATATATATATATATATATATATATATATGAATATAATTTCAAAATTCGCGCCAGCGCCATTTTGCCAAAGACCGGCATACTGCGCATCCGCGGGCGCCATTTTCCCAGTAATTTTCCGGAAGTTAAAATGGCTTCCGTATGTTTTACCACGCATGCCGGTATCCCAGCCACCATTTTGTTGGTTAGAAAACCACTATGTGGCCGCATCGAGGTGCGCGGGCCGTGCGGACGCCATTTTCTTGAGGGGGATAATATTCAACAGTATTAATGATAATGCTAAACAGAATACTGGACAGATCAAGAATAAAAATCAGTGAAAATCATTAAAATGAAAATAGCGTTGCATTAAGCCAACAGCTGTTTGCACCCTTCTATATTTTACAAAACCAGGACTGTTTCTACGATCATTAGCCAGTATAGCTTTACTTAGGTTCACACTAGAATGCAGTGCAGGAAGCACTCTGCAGTGGGTGTCAGTGCAATCTTAACGACACCTCAAACGCAGGTTGTAAATGCAGTGCGTTTTCCTGCACCGGATCACATGGTACATGCGATCTGGTTGCAGCGCATGCACGACTTTGGTGCTATGCAGTGCAATTTGAGCCCATGCAAAATTAATGAAATTGCACCTCGCTGAATCATATGTGAATTGTACAGGAATGTGGTGTAGTTCCTGTGCAATTCATGTGTGAAATGAGTCTTAAAGCGACCCTGTCGCCACATTTTCTGCTTGAAATGTTAGTTCACCTACCAAAAAAATGAAAAGGTAAACACTGTACTCCATCGAACCCCCACCGTTCCTTCCCTGGTTCCTGCTGTACCTCCAGCGATGCTGAGCTGTATGGGGTTTTCAGCCGGTCCAGTGATTTGAAATCCCTGCTCTTCTCGGTGCAGCGCTTTCGGCACAGATCACTGAGCAGGTGCTGACCAATCAGAATAATTTTAGTCCATCCTGGAAGCGATTTCAATTCCCTGAACTGCTGGACTAGCTGTAGGAGCTCACTTTGTCCAATGCAAAATGTTTCCTGAATGGTGCCCATGCCAAGAAAGCAACCTCCAGCAGGGCAGTAGAGAGCAGTGCAGTAGTGGTGCCTTCTACAGTGATTTCCAGCTTTTAGAGGGATCTCATAGATATGGCACATACTATACATACACATTCATTTGTCAAAGCTGGACCAATGTAACTAAATAAAAATTATCATACCTATACTTCAGCTTTAGGAAAACATACTTGATCTTTTAAACCAGAGTTTAGGGCAGCAATGGGCAAACTACGGCCCGGCGGACCTTTTAATCCGGCCTGCGGAGCTAGGCTCCCGCTAGGCTCCTCTCACAGTCCGCCCTGAAGACCGGTGTAGCATGAAAATCTGTCTCCTATGAGGATCTGTCCCCCTCGACGTATCTGCGCATGTGCCGGAGATCGCCGATCGGCTGCTAATGCCTGAAACTGGCACATGCGCAGATACGTCGAGGGGGACAGATCCTCATAGGAGACAGATTTTCATGCTACACCGGAACGGCGCGGGAACACGGCGAGAGGAACGCGCGCAGCAAAGGTAAGTGAATTGACACAGGGGGGACTTAATATGGGGGATGAATTAATATGGGGAATGAATTACTATAGGGGGGATGAATTACTATATGGGGGATGAATTACTATATGGGGGATTAATTACTATATGGGGGATGAATTACTATATGGGGGATTAATTACTATGCTTACTATGGGGGAATATTACTATACTTACTATGGATGACACATACACATCATTCATCTACTCTTGGTCCGGCCCCCGGGTCCAATATATGAACCCATTGCGGCCCTCAAGTCAAAAAGTTTGCCCACCCCTGGTTTAGGGTCACTATGCCTCCAGCCAACTTAATTTTTAGATAAAGCAGAGATAAGGTATACATTTCTGCCTGGTATTTATTTTTGTCTGTGGTCCCACTGAGGATATTTTCCCTTCTACCCTGTCCCTGTGACACCCATACAAAAGGGAGAGCAGCTGTCACTGAAACCGGAAGGGAAAGACAGTAATACCAACATTTTCAGTAGTTTCAACCTTTCCTTCTACTAAAATTCTTTAGGTTTTCTTTTTGTCCCATTGGAGAGACTTGCTACCACTGCCTGTCCAGGACAGGAAAGAATGGGAAATCTCTCTCTTGTGGGTACACAAATGATGATCAAACAGCCAACACAGGACAGCGCCATCTCCTGGAGGGGTCATCTAACTGCTAGCTAGGATACTGGGAAGTGAGGTGTGTGCGCTTGGGGCAGAATATACAGGAAAGACAAATGGATATGCTGAGAGTGCTACAGCATGCTGAAGTGAAGTAAAGTGAAAGCGGAAATTATGCATTGTATTATAGGAATAGAAAAGGATGGCATTCATGTAACAAAACATTAAGAATAGTGGACCAGGGGACTTGATTAGCTAAAAATCGCACATTATAACATGAACCTGTGTTTCGTCCATGCCAGGCAAGCTTGTTTAGTGCAGAACCAAGGCCACTCTGACATTGCATGTGAACCTAATCCTAAATAATTTCAACCTTTTACGTTTGTCTTTACATTGTTGATTTTAAGTAGATCCATAGCCAACATATGCAATTTGTTTCTTCCTGCTGGGATTCGGTCTCTCAAGTTCCGTTTAATCTCACCTGATTAGAATAATCCCTTCCTTATCTCTACAGAACAGCTAATCTGTTTTCCAGCAGTCATCTGTGTGACTGCTTTTCATATAAACCCTTGTAACTGTAGGGGAACTACAAGATGCAGCATGCCCTGTCTTCTGCTTGTCAGCAGGTGGTGATGAACCTCAAAGGGAACCTGTAATGATAGAGAAATGGAAGTGGCTTTTGCTGTGGTCCTGCAAACTGCTATCCACTGAGTCACTGACATGAAGAAAATATTCAGGACGGGAGCTCAGCCTCTTCACTGGCAACATTCTTGTTTTTGGTTAGTGGCATCTGGGTATGAAAACAGGAACCAGAACAAACTTTATAAACAAATCTGCAATGAAAATGAACATATTTTTGTATTCACTTATTTTTGATTCACTTTAAAATTGAATACATCACAGGGAAGCATCCTTGGACATGTAGTAGCTCCCAGATTAGAAAAAAACATGTGTTTGTATGGAAGAAACATTCAAATGTGTTTCAGATACAAGGAGTAGAGGTTCTGTTAGGTTTTTATTGTTGTGTCCTCATTAAGGTAGTTTTTTCTACTTTCTTTCTGTTCCCAGATATAACAGGAACTTGATAGAAATCTCTCCAAAACTGAAGGGAAATCTCATTACTGACTGTAGTCATTGAACAAGTGTCCCAGTTAGAAATATAAAATAGTAATTCAAATGACCATGGGGACTTTATGTGAGGTACAACACAGACAACAGTACAGTAAGAAAAAGAAATGTTATTATAATAGTATGTGTAAAAAAAACATACCTTAATGAAATGGGCTAACTAATCTATAATTAGAGCTCCAAATTAACAAACAGATATGCATATTTAAATTGTATTGTAATACTTAAAATGGCAAAATCAAGTGCATCCCAATTCTCGATGCGTTTCATGAACCTAGTTCACTTCCTCAGGAGCAGATGATA